CCCTGCCTGTGGCAGGAGGGTTGGAACTGGATGAGCTTTAAGTTCTCTTCCAACCCAAACCATTCTATGATTCTATGTGACTTCTTGAAAGAGCAGCTGAGGAAGGTTTTCTGTGGTTCAGCAATAACACGATGAGCCAGAGCCCCCTCCTGTTCTTACATGGTTGGCATCACTCTTGCCCAAGAGGACAGGCAGGGAGGGCAAAGCCTGAGCAAGAGGCTGCCCTGGAACAAAGCAGCTGTAAACGCTGTGAACTGTGCTTTTGGCCTCGTGGCCTCCGATTTTTCGGGTGAACAAGATACCTTATTGTATAAGTGAAATGCATCCTATTATTCCACGCATGACTGGTTGAAAAATGCTTTCGTTGCCGGAAAGTCTGTTGAACAATATAGTTTCCACTTACAAAGCACTTTCCTTAAAAAGCTTCTCAGGGCAGCATTGTATAAAAATAGTTCTACTAAAGTTGTGAACCAGCTTCTGACAAATCAGGACTAACAAAAGCTAAGGTATAAATAGAAGGGTTTTCATGGGTTTTCTCTTCTCTAGAGGCACAGAATCTCAATCGGTGCTGGATTGTAACACACAAAAATGCCCTTTTCCAGACAAACAGGAAAACAAGGGCCTTCCAGACTAGTGGCACAGAGTATAAATAGGTTTTCAAAACTGTAAATCTTAGTCAAAACCATAACATTCACATTTTAGAGCGAGCCACACCATATCAGGCCTTATTTTTTTGATCTAGTTTTCTATTTTATTTCATACAAACGAGCGTTAGGGAAAGGTTAAACAAGTTCAGTTTTTATACTTATGGAAGGAATTGTCTCCAGGCACTCACAGAGATGAAGATTATCTCAAAATCTGCAATGGATTTAGAATTCCTGGAAAAGAAATGCTGAAGAATGTAAAATATTACATATCCTGTGTTTATATTTTGTCAGTGGGCAGAATAAATGCACCTTAGTGGTCATTTTCATAATTCATTATTTTTGCAAAGGAGTTGTTTGTTGTTGCAGGGTTGGTTTTTTTTTGCTTACAGAAGACTTTGAAACAGGTAAATGTAAAATCAGTATTTGCTAATCCAGAGTCTGGATGATCTTGATTTTACTCCGAGCCGGTTCCTCCTTCTGTTCTGCACTGACCTTTTCTGAAGCTACCAAACCCAATGTAGCTTAATCCACAATACCAAAGAGGGAAGGTCTATTTCTGTAAGCTGAAAATAGTTTTTACTGCAGTTAACCTTGCAGCTGAATCAGTTCTGCTATTGCTTTTTAAGGCATGTTTGGCCAGTCATGTCTGCATGGACCAGAAGTGAGGTTGAACAGGGCATCTGCATCATCACCCTGATGCATGCCGCTGTTTGCACTGCAGTAGCTATACTGAAAACACCCCACATACAAAACATTTACTGACCAGCAACTGAACATATGACACCCTTGGGGTCTGCGGTAGCTGAGCTTTAGAGATACCAACTCCTTCAGTCTATGTATGGGAAGTAAGGATTTCAGCAAAAGTTTCTGGGCATCAAATCCTTCTGTATATTGTCCCAGTCATTCCATAATCCTTTCTATCTAGGGGGCCTTATTCCATTCTGCATGGAGATCTGCTCTTCACCCCTTTTCCACCTTTGTAGTCCCCTCATGTTGTCCAGCCTCTCCAAAAGGGAGATCTACAGCTGCCTCACAATGTCAGTGCATCACCCACAAGTGGAGAGGCACAGTAACATTGCAAGGAGAATCACTTACGTTTTCTCTTGCCATGATCCGTGCTAAGACCTGGGAGATGTGCAGTTAGTCTTTTCTTGCTCCAGTAGCAAACAGTGCAGCAAATATTTGGGGCAGTATTTAGTTACCTCCATTTAAAAAGATGAGAAAGCCAGTATTCTGCTCGATGCTGCTTGTGAGTAATAGTTTTTGCTATTTGACACCTGATATTCTGAGCATTCTGCATGAAAATAGTATTTGGCCACTTCCATTACCCAGTGATCATGGCATGAGAAATATTTGATGTAAAAATGAGTTCTTCCTGCTACAGCTACAGCATAACAGATCTGAAATTCTACTTGTCTGTAACAGCAGCGCCAAAATAGCTTTAATAATTAATCATGCACTGATTAGATTATAAACTCACGAGATGGGCCAGGGATTCTTGTATTATGCATCAGACAAAGGGCACTGGCAATGCTTAACTAGCACTCACGGGCTCCTGCTCCACCTGCCTTTGTGGGAGCACTCTGGAAACCAGGAGAGAGACAAAGGCCCAGTAGAAGTTGATAAAAGCCTTCGATTGCCCATGGTATGTTCAGGAATACAGAACTGTTGAAACAGGTGCTGCCCGCCGGGGGTACAGCTTCCCTGTTAACTTCTGCCTTGCCAGATGCCGCTCTCCATCGTGTACCACTGGGAAGGCAATGGGAGACAGAGTCCAAACACCAGGCTAAGTGAGAGTTAAGCAGGGAGTCTCCCATCTGGGAACGCCAATGCAAACAGCTGCTGTGGAAGGGCTGGACAAAGAGAGCCAAGGCACGGTGTGGGCGCCTGTATCCTGTGCTTACCCTTGTAGGGTCCCCTTGCATTGCCACACTGCTCTGCCCTGCCTGTCAGCTGCTTGTAACGTTACGGACAGATTTCTGTGGAAGCGGTGGGATTGTAGCTGGAATGATCTTACATGCAGCTCATTTTATGGGAAGTAGGAGTTTAACACTGAGAACCACTAGAACTCAGAGCTGGAAAACTACTTCCTAACATTAACTTCCAGTTACAAACTTTGCTCAGCTATCTTAACTAACTTTTTCCAGGCCCTTTGCTCTTGTCCCATGACTCTTGGGGCCTATTTATCACAACTCCAGGGGCAAATCCCCTGAGGGGGGATAGTCCATATGCTGGGTTTTGAATGCAGAAGATATTACCAGTGCATTCAGTGTAATGCTTTTCCTGATAAAAAGTATGATTTCAAAAAGGGGACCTTAGAACCAGTTTTATGATATCAACAAGAATTGCTATTAGTCTGGCCTTAGAGATCAAGGCAGTTTTAGGGGAGGAGGGGGCAGGGACCCTGTGGAATGAAATGAGCAAATCTAGTTAAAAATGAATCATTTTGCCAGTTGTTGGGGACTTCACAGAGCAGTCAACATCACAAAACAGCAGTTACTGTTCAAAAGCACTTGTGAGGCAAACAGTTGTCACTCTCTGCTGATCAGAGCAGCACCAGGTGGTACCTCAGAGCAAGGCAGGGCATGGTGTCCTCCCTGTTTGCCCAGGGATCATCATGCAGGGTGGGCAGAGCATGGGACAGCTCTGCTGGGAGATGTGGCCCAGGGATGGATAGCTGGAAAGGGCCATAGCTGCCAGGAGAACCTGCCTTCTACTCATACAGCAAATCATCACAGGTGCCAAAGCTTGCCCCAGGAGTAAGAGTGGGTTATGTGAGATACACAGCACAGACCTTCATGAGTGGGACCTTTATAATAAGCAGCAGCCAAGTTCTAGAGGCATCCAAATGTATCTTTCTGCAACCAGGAATTTACAGATGCCACAAGCCACGTGGCTTCTTTTTTTTTCCCCTTTTCTCTGTCCCTTCTACCACTGACCTTTATGAAAAACAGAAGTTAAAGGAGAGAAAAATAACTTTAATGAAACATTCAGGTTGAGAAATCAAAATTGGACACTCCAACAACAGGAAGTTTCAAAAGCAGTGTTTAGAACAGCACGTTGCTGAACTGTGGCACACTTGCTTTTCTTTATGCTTTCAGTCATATTATAGCGTGTACCTTGACTCAACAGCTGGGCACAAAGACAGGATCGTGGTTTGGATAGTACAGTCGTATCGACAGTTTAACACAGCAGAATTTCCTGGGCATAGAAAAGTGAATAGTACTCAACCCCCAAACAGTTTCCTGGCTCCTGCAACCCGTGCTGCAACTTTTGTCTTTCCAGTAAATGTGTCTGAATTGTTTCCCTCTCTGAGGTTACTAAAACTTGTCATTTTATTCCAGGGAGCTGGAGACAGTTTTGTGGGAGCACTGGCCTTCTACCTGGCTTACTATCCCAAGTTACCCATGGAGGAAATGGTCAGGAATTCTAATTACGTCGCATCAGTGAGCGTCCAGGCAGCAGGGGCACAATCTTCATATCCTTATAGAAAGGACCTGCCCCAGAACCTCTTCTAACTGACATTGCTTAGCTCAAGGTACCAATTTTATCTTATCGCAGACAACATTAGTCTCCTGACTGCTGAGGTTCTTCTCTGCCACCTGGAAAGACCAGGAAAGCCTTTTTGCTTCTTACCTGAGGAATCCTGTTCATTGCTGCTCTAGAGTAGTAAGACAGGGTGGGCACATGGGGTCTTCTGAACACAGCACAGCAGCAGGTCTCTCTAGCCCCACACACAACCACGGGGCTAATGCTCACATGAAGCAGAGCATTAGCTTTGAGACTACAGCGTCAGTCCTGGGCTGCAGACACCTAGGCCAGCACTTGGCTCCTTCCCCATCTGCTCCCATGTGCTCTGCCAGGCTGGGGAAGGTCCCTCAGACTGGAAAGAGGATGAGTGTGCTACTAAGGTAGACTTTGAAAAACATTTCTAGCACTATTAGCTAAGAGGTGAGCTACTTAAAGAAGAAAAACTTGCAAAACTATCACAGAACTACACTGTCTGCTTTCCTCATGCCGGACAAACACGCAGGAGAGAAAACTCCATCCTGCTTACCTGACTGACAATAACCTAGCCCTTACAGCCGTGGTCACAGCTTCTCCAAAAGCTCATCTCAATTCACCGGGTTCCCACTGTTTATTTCTTTCCTAGGAAGGTGCTGGTGCAGAACTTCCCCTCCAAGGAATGACCAGTTCGTGGTCACTGCTGTTGAAGCTGTGGCTGGTAGGTTAGAAAAACTCGCAATCCTGCCATTGAATTCCTGCTGTGGAAAATGTTAATTTTTATTGCCGTATAAAACAATAGCTCCTTTGAAGATTACAACCTCTTTCACAATGGAAAACACAATGGGATTTGCTATTTAATTTTTTTTTAATTGAGTACTGTAAAAATAACTCAAAAGATAAATAAATGTTACTCTGATGATCTATGTCCAGACATTAAGAATTTTCTCTCTCTACATTGTTTTATTCACAATGGCCTTCAAATCACAGGAGACGGTGATCCCAGTTCATTTCCTCTCTTTTCAGCCCATGTTGCTGGATTTCTGAATCAGTATTCACCCCATCCTCCCCCCAGACCATCTCTCTTCTCACATAAATCAACTCCGGTCATTGTTCAGAGAGAGCGGATTTTTCTCTTCTCTGTGAAGAGGACACGTTGTTTTGCTAGAGGGGAAAAAAAGACTCTGTTAAGAAGCCTGAAGTGTTAAAATGCAATCCAACGAGCCTATGTCCCTTTCTCATGGCTGTCTTCGCTGCTTAAATGAGCGTGGAGCAACCAACTGGTGCAGTGCTGCTGCTAACCAGGTCTTGAAGGGTTTAGTAGTGCTTTCACTTTACCACATGTAATTTTTAGTTCCTAAGAGGTCCATTTTACCTCTATGGAAATAAGTATCAAGATTTGAGTGCCTGAAAACATTCAACAGCTGCTCTGTGTGACTATTCTGAGTCACAGCTGCTCAGTGTAGGGACAAAAATAGGTTCTTATTGCTTTCTACTATTCTTCAACTTCAAAGCCCGAACAACTACAGATGATGAGCTGGATCTAGGTGGTCTCATGGACTGACTGAAACCTTAACTAAGTGTCCTGTGGATCCATGAGAGAGGCACAAACTGACCCTGCCTCCAATGCCTGATGCACATGCTGGCAAAGTCAGTTCAGCTGCAGGTTCAGCATAGTCAATGCATTACTTTAAAAAAGCCCCAAAAATAAATGAAAGCAAAGCTTTACAATGACATACGAACGGCACCGCTGTTCCGACTGAACTGCATTATATGAATTCCTGTGAAAGCTACACAATAACAAAATCTCTTCTTCGACATAAAAGTTTCATTTTAAGAAATAGTGCAACTTAGTAACACATTCTGTTGCTGCAGTTAGGAGGTAGTGAAACTTGGGCACCACTGCCACTACTTCACTAAAAAGCTTCATTCTGCAGAGGTCCCAGGTTTCTGAGAAGTACAAAACATAAGGTGAAAATGCATGCCAAGTGAAAATGCTTCCTAACATATTCCTGATGTGAGCTGGTATCTAGACTCGGATTTACTTCCCTTCACACATGCAGCACTTTCTCACATCAATTTCTCACTTGTGTTCTACTACCGGCTACAAAGATCAGAGCTTTTTTTCTTAATTACTTCCAATTTCGTACTTCAACAACCTACTACATGTTCCACAACAGAAGCGCTGCTTAGCCCGAGCTCTCCTACTCTTCGCATTCCCTGCAGCTTGAGAAGCTTCTAGAAGATCACTTTGCACAATGTCTCAATGCAGTAATTTCAACTTTTCTTAGTCAACAAAATAATCCCAGTGATCTCCAATTCCCCTTCTGTACGGAATTCAGAAGGGGAGCCACAACCTCTGTCAGCGTGAGTCCTCCAATGAGAGCATACTGCTTCTGTGGCGGCTCCTCTCACCTGCCATGAACCTCCTGTACTGTCAGAGCTCAGTGTGAAAAGGTCAGTCAGATAACAAGAACATAATCAAAAAATAAGCTTGAAAAACATAACTACTGGCCATGCATTATGTCATCTACTTAGAGCTGCTTAATACACTTCTCTGTTCTAGAGATTTAAGTAAGCCTTTCTCGCATTAACTCCGTCATGCTATTTCTAGCATGCTCTGGTTTAGGTTCTAAGTTTCCCCAAATTAAGCTTTTTAATAGTAACTACAGACTGATTTCTCCCTCAGAAACTTAAGCTCTCAGCCATCTTTCAGAAAGCTGGGTGAGCAAAAGGCAGCTTGGCAAGTGCTATAACCCCTCAACAAATAGGATTCTTAAACTGAGAAAATCTACAAAGTCCAGAGGAACATAGAAGAACCCACAAACTGTCACGTGGACAGCAGTATCATCTGTGGAGAAGGACGAACTTGTGTTTATTTCTTCAAAAGAAAAAGTCTATTATGTAAGTGATGGTTAAAATTTATTGTCTAGAGCACCCATGGGAGCATAAAGGAGCATTTCTATTGAGGCGTACTTCGTGGCTGCTTGTTGGAGGTAGCACAGTCTATCAAACCACACAAAGAAACAGAATGAAAGAACTCCTGTGTTACTTTGCTTTGCCACTGACATGTGGCATGGCTGTCATCAAAGCTCTGATGTGTCAGGCAAGTCATTACTTTGTTTCACTGCCACGATCTGTAATGAGGGTAAAGTTTACTTCCCACTGGAATGTCATAAAGAACAGCAACCATACAGTCATCCCAGTATGAAACATCTTATGACATATTCTGCTTAGATGGGAAGAATCCTGTTACATTCAATCCTTTTGCCCCACACAGTCCAAGAAGCTTATACAGAGCAGGCAGACTTCTTCCCCCAGCTCTTACCAATGGGATCGTACTTGTACAGGACCAGTTTCTCCTGCAGCCGGAGTCTCCTGACGTTGAAACAGTAGCCTGTCTCGGCCGCACTTTTCATCCTCACCAGGATGTATCTAAAGTCACAAGGAATGTCTTTGTGTCAGTGCACCAACACACAGCAACGGCCTGCCCCGTCTGCCAGGGCATGGACAAGCTTTCAGCATAAACAACTTGGCAGAGTCACGTAAGATATTTCAATTTCATGGCTGTTCTGGAGAGGAGTGTCAGTATTATATGCTAAACTTACAACAGACAAAGAGCCCACTATAACCCGTAAGATCCAGCATCAAGTTTAAGTAACTCGTGAACAGAATACAAGACCAGAAAGAAGTAGCTCCTCCACAAAGCAGTGAAGAGAGAAAGGGAAAGAAAGGGAACAGAAAAGAAGGAACGAGAAGGAAAAGAAAAACTGAAAAAAAAGGAAAGTAAAAGAAGGAGGAAAAAAAAGGAAAAGAAAAATGAATCAGCATACACTTGAGTCATTGTAACTTAAAGAGAACAGCGACAGAGGAAGGATGATGGTAGTTGAAGATGTTTGGGCTATAGATGACACTGCATCACAGAATATCACTTCCACAGGCAGAGAAGAACCTGAGCAGATAGGATGCAACAAGTGGCATGCAAAAGGAGAAGCAGAACACATCAGCATGGCACATCCCACTACAGATACAGGGCTTTAATCCAGCACCAGGAAGCCCCTTCCCCACTGGAGGGCTCTTGGTCTGTGGGGCTGACTGGCAGCAGCTGCAGTGTCCCTGGAACAGGACAAGTCAGGAGACTGAGGAGACACCATACCTCCAGCCTGGAAGCATGCCCAGATCTGCACAACTTCCCAGACATGGGGCAGCTTCTGCAGTTTCAAAAGAAAGGTCAAACCCTGTAACCAGCCTGCAAATTGTGTCCTTCTCTTGCACTGCAATGTAAAGGTGGATACATCTCTGCACGTAAGCATTCAATTAATTTCCCTGGATTTTCCTGCTTCTAACACAAAATTGTATTGTCAAAATTAACCTTGCAGAGACATCCATTCTTCCCCACTTGTGCAGCTCTGACCAATGTACTTCCTTGAGCTCTCCCATTTTAGCTCTGCAATCTAAGTCACTCTAGAGATCAAAATAAACAGAATGCTGGATTCCTGGAGACCAACTGACAAAGGACAGTGTAGGGATTATCCCCAATTATTATCCTCTCCTGTACAGTACTGTAGCAACAGTAACCACACAGACTATTTCCCCTGTATCTCACCCACTTCCTCAGACCCTCTGTGTGGTTTCTCCTTTCAGTGGTATCCGTACAACCAGGCCTTAAAATTCTTGTGCACCACAGATTTGAGGCCAAGCCTTTTTCTGAACAATACACACCTTATTCAAAAACCCTAATTTTATAGGTAATATAAGGAGATAACATATTCCTGAAGTATAGATGGGACTATGCAAAGAACAGAGAAATGAAGACCAGGGGGAAAACAGAAAAGGGAGTGGGGGAAATCAGTACATTACCATGAAAAACACCATTTTTAAAAGCTGTTTTTCCACCTCACAGAAACATCCTGCTTTACTGTTGTTTGTTTCCACAAATAACAGATAACAGTAAAACACAGAGACATCCTGAGCTGGAGTACAGAGCAAACCAAGACGCCCAGAGCACTGCCTGCACCCCATCCGCTCACACACAGACACACAAACATGCTATAGCTGGGAAGTGTCCTGCACTCTGCCCATGGGAAAGGTTCACGGCACCTGTCCAAAGACCCACAGGGTACCCCAGCTTGCCCTCCTCAACTAAAACAAATGTAAGGTCAACAAGAGGAAGGTCATGGGGAAAATTTACAGCCTCTCTTTAATCACACAGCACAGACGTGTGTTTCCCCTGTGCAGGGTGCTTTGGATATTACAGCTCTGCAAAATGCAACAGCCTATAGGGCAAAACCCGCCTTTGCTGCAATTCCAGAACCTGAGGGAGATTTATACCATTCTGCACTTACCTGTGAAAAGACACACATGCAGAAGGACCAAGAGGATGCAGCTAGACTTAAGGACTGCAGTCCTCTCGGGTACATTACAAAACGCTAGAGATACCTAATATTATGTGAAGTCACTTGAAGATACAGGGTAGTAACAGAAATCAAAAGCTGACGAGGAAAACACTTACTTAGATTTGCTCTTGGCCACTGGTTTTTTGCAGCACAAAGAAGAGGAAGAAGAATAAAAAAGAAAAAGTTATTTTATCTTGTTTCCTCTGTATGCAACATATAAAGATTAAGAGTTTTCCACTGCCTGCCTTTGCCATAGCCCCAGACAGGTTGTGAAAGAGCTTTGCTGTCACCAAAACCTTGCACTCTTCCACCCGTCTACGTGCCCACAGTTGCCTGCTCCGTCTTCCACCACCACTACCTCTGCGGTGCGCAGATGCTGCAGCCTGCAGATGCTTTAGGTGCTGGATATGAACTCACTATGGGGACATGCATAGGGCAGGTATGACATAAACAACTCTGCCACTGAGAGCTGCAGCCCCACTCCCTGCTTGCTTACACCTGCTCTGCCTCCTGTCACAGTGCAGTGGTTCATGTGGCCGCACGGTGAACCGGGCCAGAGCTGTTCTCGGATAACAGTGACCTTCTCGGAAGGTTGTGTTTTGTTCCCCTGATCTAACCCGCCACATAGCACGAAACAGGCAAAATTACCTATTTCTGTCAGCAAACTGAACCTAAGGCAATCATAAATCTACGGCGTAAACAATAAACACCCCCCCACCAACAAAGGCTGATCTATATTCCATCCACGCAGGTCTTGCTTAGGCCATCACTACCTTCTGCCCAGCCTCCCTCGGCACCGTTCCTCCACCACAGCCCAACCTCCTCCAGACACCAGGCGGGCACATCCACCCCTCCCTCCCCCCCGCCACTTCCCATTTCTCCACTCAGGCGCTGGAGCTTCCCAACCTCCCCACTGAGGGCTCACAAGTTCCGCTTCCCCCGGCTCCCCACCTCGGCTCCCCCCCCAGGGGCCCACCCGCGGTCCCGCTCCGCTGCCCCCGCGCCACTCACAGGCCGCTACCGTTACAAACATCGCGCCGGCCGCACGCCCTCCGCTGCCACCGACAGTTCCGGGCCGCCCGGGGAAGCGGTTCCGGGGCGCAGGGCGGAGGCGGGGCGGGGCGCGGTGCCCGTTAGCGCCCGGAGGTGGGGGCCGGGAGGGTCCGCGGCGCGGCCTGGGTCCGGGAGGGCACTCGGGAGGCAGCGCCTGAGGTGCGGGGCGGCCGCCATGGGGGCCCAGCCCCACAGAACAGTCCCAGGATGGTCTGGGTTGGAAGGGACCAGCTCCAACCCTCTGCCACAGGCAGGGACACCTTCCACTGGAGCAGGGTGCTCCAAACCCCTGTGTCCAACCTGGCCTTGAGCACTGCCAGGGATGGGGCAGCCACAGCTTCTCTGGGCACCCTGTGCCAGCACCTCAGCACCCTCACAGGGAAGAACCTCTTCCTCTTACGCAATCTAAACCTACCCTTCTTTAGTTTAAAGCCCCTTGTCCTGTCACTACACGCCCTTGTAAAAAGCCCCTCTCCAGACTTCTTGTCAGCCCCTTTAGGCACTGGCGCTGCTGAGGGCTCCCCATATGGAGCCTTTTCTTTTCCAGGCTGAACAAGCCCAGCCCTCTCGTCTGCATAGCAAAGGTGCTCCAGCCCTCTGAGCATCTTCATGGCCTCCTCTGGCCTCACATGAGCAGCATCCCTCTTGTGCTGAGGACCCCAGCACTGCACACAATGCTCCAAGTGAGGTCTCACGAGAGCAGAGTAGAGGGGCAGGATCACCTCCTTCGACCTGCTGGTCACGCTGCTTTTGACACAGCCCAGGACACGGTTGGTTTCTGGGCTGTGATTGCACCCTGCCAGGTCATTTTGAGCTTCTTGTCAGGCAACACCCCCAAGCCTTTCTTCTTGGGGCTGCTCTCAATCCATTCTGTCACCCTTCAGCACATCTGCTAACCCCCACCTGTCTTTGTTCCCTGTTGTGTGAAAAGGGGGTACTACTGCGCTATCAAGTGTCTGAGGCATTAGGAAACTAAACCTATCAGTGTTATGAGAGACTGTGCAAAACCCATGGGCAGGGAGGCTCAAGGGGGCACCCAGGCAAGTTTTGATGTTCTTCTGAGCAGTTAGGAGAAGAACTGTAAGCTGTTACCCTCTAAAGGATAACAGCTCTGTGGCTTACTTCCCCCTCTCCCACCCATTGGGTACACCGTTAATGATGGAGTTCAAGTCCTTGACTATTTAGCGATTACTAAGGCAATGACAATTTCAGCCTGACGTATTTAGGTGGAAAGCAAGACTTGGGATGTTTAATAACATGCAGTTAATTTGATATTCTGTGGCATAAACTCAAGTGGCTGACCCTGTAAAAGACTGGAGCAAGACAACATCTCAAGGAAAGCCACGCGGCTCCTGTCAAGTGTTCACTTGATATATTGCTCTTTGTTTCAATCCAGGCATTTCCAAATGCTTCCTCTTAATGATACATCGGCTCAGTCTTTACTATTTGGCCTTCAGAAGTATAAATCTAGTAGTTACATAATCTGCCCGTGAATACCAGAGTGAGAACTTGAAAACAGTCAGGATGATAGAATGTGAGTGCTGTAAGACTTCTTCTCTTTGATCTGCGTTACTGCCTCAGTCAGTGAACAGACTGAAATGGAATGGGATTGCCAACCTCCTGGCTTCACTGCCAGGAATATAAATCAACATTAAAGATGATTTTCAAATGAAATAGCAAGTTAAACATTTGTACAAACACATCATCAAATAGAGGTTATACTGCCTCTTTTTAAACCTCTTGCCTGCTGGCAAAAAGGAAACTGTTCCAGTGACATTTTCTCTGCTCTGCTGTGACAAGGGCTGCATAAATATAGACACCGTGGATTAGAATAGACTTCAGCAATCTTCGGCTTCCTTTCTAGCAGCCTCTTCTGCAGGCAGTTTTCCATAGCTATGGGTGAAAACCAGGGAGGCTGAAACTGGTGCGTATGGCAAGGTGGTGACAGCGTGGCACGCCCCTCATGGCTGCAGTCATAGCTAACCTTGGGGACAAGGCATCCTGGCTGGAGGAAAGGAGGGAGAGTCAGGATTTCTAACCATGACTGTGATACAGATTTGCTGTGTGGGCTAGGATAAGTCGTGTACTTTGGGATCTTCGGTGGCATGTGCAATGCAAATGCACATTTTTCCTTCAACTTTGCCTAAAGAAAGCAAGGAGTGTGATGAACTGTAATGCCAGCCTAGATAATTCTGGTGCTTGCTGAGAGAGAAGTCACTTATGTCTCCAGTGGAGAAGCTGCTGGTGCCAAACCAATCAGTGTCACTCAGAATCAAACATAGGGTGGGTTTTAATTCAGCTAGAAAAACAACAATTTGTCACGTTGTACCCTAACTTATTCTTTCCATTTTTATGCTTTACATTCTAGGCTGAGCCCTCTTTTACCTCCAGGAAGTGAGGAGATGGCTGCTCCTTGCCAAGACAGTGCGGTCAGGTTGCTGGCACACACTGGGCAGGCAAAGGCGCTTGTGCCGAAGGTTGGCAGGAGTGATGCTTCTTCAAGTGCGTGTGGCACTTCAAATCAGTCATCACTTGAGAAAGTCACAGGAAAGGAGAGCGGGGCAGCAGATGAGATGTTTGCAAGGTAAATATCCTCTTGGCACTCTGTTTTCTACATGAGTTACTGTCAATTAACACATACAGAACCCAGTGCTGGAAACAAGAGAATAACACACTAAAGCCTGGGAAAAGCTCCACGTGTCCTTCCTGGTTTCCCACAAAAAAACAGGCAAACAGCTAACTAAGCCAAAAATGCACACAGCTCGGTGGACGTAGTTTTAAAACAGCCAGGCTGTTTTCTCCTCTCCCCTTGCTTTCCCTTTCTCATCGTGTTACAACTTAGTAGAGTTCGTGCTGTCCACAGTGTTAAACAAACACTCACGGGCACATCACTCATCCCACATAGCAGGTGGATTTTTACATTCTTTCTGCATATCTGAATCCATTATCCCAAGAGGGCTCAGAAGAAAGTGGGCATTAGCTTAATGCAGCTCTGAAAGAGGTACTGTCCAGGTCAGGAGAGCAGGAATGATGGAAGGAGCTAAATCACTTTGAGCCAGTGACCAAATCCATTTCAGCTGCTGGCCTGTTTGAAGTGAGCTGGTGATGGCCTTTAGCCCAGTTCATAGGGTGTCCATGGCACGGTGTCAATGTATTTGTTGGCAGCCTTGTTAGAAAAGGCAGAAAAGCAATGGGCTTGGATGGTTCCCTTCTCACCTCCGGTGCTTAGTTCTCTTCGATCAGATATGGGGAACTTTGGTGGTGTAGGTTAGGGCATGGCTCCATTCTCAGAGCTTTACCTGTTCCCTGCTTATTCCCTTCCAAAGCTCCTGTCTCCGGCTCTGTTCTCAGCGCTCCTTTCTCCAGCACTGGCGTCATTCATATGTAAAGGGGGAGGAACAAAGACAGCACTCACCTGTTTTCTTGTGTGATTTTTCAATACTCGTTTCCCAATCCAAACGTCCAAAGTAACAACATCCTTTCAAACCGCCCCCTCTTGAAATGCCACAGTAGTCAAACAGCTGCAAATCAAAACACCTTGTAAACAAGTGACTGCAATCCCGTGGGATGCCTGAGGGCTTGGGCACGTCTCAGAGTGATTATAGTTCCTGCTATACAAATTGGAGTCCATGTAGCGCACTTTGTGCCAACTCTGAGCTCTTGCCTTTTATTTTTAGTCCTGTTTGTCGAGGGGTTCTCATGGTAAAAAGAATGACGTTCGGCATCAGTGACACACAGATAAAATTAGATGGTAGCCGGAAGTGATAGTACAACTAATCCTCCCCACTGACACTTTTTCCCCAGCATTTGGGATCCTGTGGGTCTCAAGGACAGCTTTTCTCTGGGTGAATATCACTTCCCATCAGCAGGCAGCTGAAAAATTGGACTTGCATGGGACATATGTGCAAAAAAATGAGTGTCATTGTCATTGCTTATGCCAACAGCTGGGACCATATGGGACACTAAAGGCAGCATTGTCTACATGTGTAAAACTGATTGAAAGTTGTTTTTAGCAAGCTTCTAAACCTTCTTCCATTTTGGGGCAACAAAACAAGGCTTTTGCCTTCTATGCATGGACTTCTGTACACAGAGCAGCTTAAGTCATCTGCAGGGCTCAGTCCTAAGACTTTTTAGTCCCGCAGAAGTAAGTCACCCACGCTGATACTGAAGACATTATTCCTTTCTTTGGAAGAAGCTGCCTGGGGGAGGATGGGGTAGAAGGTGCGTTAGATTTCATCTCTAAAGCAGATATCTCAGGAGAACAGGAGCAGTTGTCATTTGTTTTGGCTTGTCCCCACTCTCCCCCTCAACCCCCCTAAAATCTGGATTGCTTTCATTTTTGCTACAGTGTAAAACATGAATATAAGGAGCTAGCTGGTCAGCAAATGCTCTCTATTGCTGAGAAACATGGAATCCAACCAGGCAGCGTACTGAGTGCACTATCAAAGGAAGGGGGGATTGGTTGCCATGTAGCATAAAGGGATTTAGCTGTGGTACTGTGGCAAAGAAAGAGTGTATCAAAATCAAAGCTGTGAACCTGTAAGGTCAGTTATCTTTAACCAGAGTAAATAAAGGAAAAGGGAGAGAATAATTATGTCAGAATAAATATGAGAACATGGTGTGACACAGATAGGGGATGGAATTTTTTCCTCCTATTGGAGAACAGCTCAAGTGCTTGGACATGGTTCATTTTATGTCAAAAATCTACTATGGAATAATTGGTGTATCACTCCCATCACTTCCTGGCAAGGGGATATCTTCAACTTTAAGCCGGAGTGATCACCTCCAAAGGAAAATAAAATAAGCAGGTTCAACAGTGGCAAGTGGATGTGGTCCTGTCCATTTAATAATAATTATAATAATAAGAAGAATATGATAATAATAATAATAATTCTCTAGAGAACCAGAAGGGAGGAAAAAGGATGTTTCTGCATCCCATGGCATCCCTAAAGATTTTCTCACTTGGAAGAAGGTCATAGGGTTCAAAGCTGTTTCTCAAGTGCTGCTGTATAGCATTGCCTTGATGTCATGCATCATTATAAACAAGCTATTACTCCATTCAGTGTTTTGGGAAATGATGGGGCTGTAACAATACACCCACAGCAGTTCCCTCCCTTATCCCGGCAGGCTCTTTAGTGAGCTGCTTATGAGCTGTACCTCAGTAACTGATGGCTGGCTGGCTGGCTGTGTCTGGTAATAGCGTGTCTCTGGGGAATTTGGAGCAGGCATATTGATGGATTTTATGAAGGGCGGGGAGCTGGGAAGGAGGAGCAGGACATAAATTTGCGGTGTCATGTGCTTTGATGGCTGCTTGATCTGAGAACACCAGGCTTAGAAAGCCCCAGGGCTTCGTCACTGCAAGCACTGAATGCATCATCGCTCTTTTTTTCTATGCATTTCTGCTTCTGAAGCCAGTCAGTCATTTGCACCTGATGGGACAGCAGAAAAACAGTGTTAAGCAGGGCAGTGTTCCATTCATTTCTGTCTGCCCAGCTCAGGTTTGAGCTAGACCTGGGATGAAAACTGAAAATAGGAACCATCACAAAGGGACAGGTACTAGAAATGAGGCTCGGCAGGAGCGTGTGTAGACATCTGTTTGAAGTCTTGGACTCTTGCATAACTGTCTCTGGCTAGTTCCCTAAATGTTTTTTCATCTGCTGTAGTCTCCCTAGACCCATTTCACTTAAACACATACAAGCAATTTTTAAGTCCTGATGACGCACAATGTGGATGCTGTGACCTTTGCATAGTCTGCAAAAACATTGTCTTTCCTCTTTCTGTTTCATAAGCACTGTCCATCTGGCCTTGCCCCGTCACATTCCCAGATATGAAGAAACAGTCTCCCTCCTGTAAAGGGGTGGCAGTCCATTAGGTTAACAAGATAAGGACTGTAACAGCATTCACAGGTGGCCTGTTGTAAGGGACCTGTTGATCCATGAAGGTATATGTACACTCCAGTCACCTTTTAGCCCGCATTAAACTCTTCAGTGCTGTCATACTGCTAGATCAAATCAATTAAAGTTAGCTCTAGCTAGCTGGCTGGAAATATTCCTTGTCTGACAAAGAACAACCTATTTTCCCATGCCATTAGATAGACCAAGATATTCCTGAACTTCCCTCAAAACAAAGCTAGACTGAATCACATATTTTCACCAGGAGTTATCCTACCTGAAAGAACCAGAAAAAAACATTCACCATCCTTTTTCTCACAAGTCTTACAACACAGGCTCTAACCCCATTTCAGGAAATATTGCTCTTCCTAACTGTGAAGATCAGTAAGAAACTAATTGTTATTCCCAAAAGGTCCTATGGCTCTACTCCAGTTCTTTAAGGGTGCCTTGCTATTTAGCCTAACCTCAGTGAGTATCCAAGGGGCATAGCTGCATAAGAATCATATATGTAAACATGACGAAGATGTGATCCATAGCACCTGACCTTAGATAAGTTCCTGCCCAAATGTTCTGCTTTCTCACGTGACTCAGTCCATTCTCCAGATGAAGTGGGAGAAGACTGGTGGGTTGATATTCCCGGCCCTGCCCTGCACTAGCTTCTGATGACCTAGTTCTGGGTAACAAGGTCTCACCACTTCCTCAGTACAAAAACACTCTTGCATCATTTTGAAATGGCGATACTCCCACTGAAGAGTGTACATAATCCAGTACTGGCTGTAGTGACCTCATGCTTGTATATAAAATGGTGGTCAGGACATCTCATGCTAGCACTAAACCAGAATGATTTAGTGGAAAGGGATTAAACTTGTTTTTAAAGTGTCTGCAGAGCCAAATCAGTTCCAAGGGTTTTCTGAGCTGCTGAACAACCAGAGGCAGTCATTGCACTTCTCTGTTACCAGTTGCAGCCTTTTAACTCTTCTAGGTAGGGACTGTCTTCTACTGTGTATCGGTACAGCCACTAGTTTTGTAGAGTGCCAACCCATCTGATCCTCTGCACCATGGTGTTGGGAAGGCTTCACTTGCAGGACAGTCAGCAGGACACATCTCCAGCTCCCCTCCTGTCTGCAATACCTGTGGGTGAAATATGGGCAGATGCCTTCGAGTTAGACGTACATCTGACGCCAACTGCATCTGGCAACAGCTCTGGCACTGCAGAGCACTGCCCCAGGATTTCTAGTTATTTATAATTCAGCATCAGATTGGACCCAGTTGCTCCTGGTTAGAGATCTTTTTGCAATAACAAATTAAGATTACATGGAGAGCTTAAAAAAGAATTTCACCCCTCCAGGGCTAAATTACTTCCAGTTATATACAACTGTCATATCTTTAAAGGGCAAACCCGGAAAGCTAACACAGAAAAATATAACTCTACAACTGAGATTATCTGCCTGCCCTCTCTAGGCAATCACATCTCATATCTATAATGTCTTTCATAGCAAAAAAACAAAATTCAAGCTAAGTGGATGGAAGATTTATGTACAGAGTAGGAAACAACAGCTTGGGAGGAGGTGTATTTGAATGCTTGAGCCAGTTACAAAGACAAACCTCAAACACCATACGACTGCTTTTACATAGCATCTCACTCATGTCTGGTAAAATCACTCCATGCTCACCCAGACTTTGCAAACTACTAGTCACCAACTGAGAAAGGCATGGTGACGTACATGTTATGGTAGCATCCAGCACTGGCAAACCATCCGCTTCCATATGTAGCTCAGGATCCATTCCAGACGTTTTAGAACTGATGTATTTTTCATGAAATAATAATTGGAAAGCAAGGAGAGCAAAACCCCTTTGTACCAACTTACCTGTCCGACGGGAGGTCTCATGCTGATCAACTCGCCTTTAGGGAATTTAATTGGGAACAGAGTTAAACGGGAACGTGAAGAGGTCACACCTTCTCTGCCCTTTTGGTGAATATTCCCAGTCATTTGATGAGAGAGCAGTCATGCTGCACATCGTGGCTGTACTCAGCCCTGATTATATACCTGGATTAATAACTGAAGCACTTAACCCCAGGGGCAAATGGATTTCCCTGAAGAACAGGGAGTAGAGAGGGGGAAGCTCAACGTGCCTAATGTCAAGATGTGGGGCTGCTCATGGACCTTTTTTGAAAGTCTTCCTGCAAAGAACATATTGCTCTCCTCAGAAGCCTGTGCGACCCAGGCTTTATTGTCAGTTTTCCTCTTATCCCCTTTTCAGTGGTGGCACGGGAGAAAAGGGGAAGGGGAGAAAGGAAAGGTGAGGAAAAAAGTAAACATTTTTCACTGTCTTTTTTTTTAATTATTTTATTTTTAAAAATCAAGTAAATTACATAGAAAAGTCTATGGGTTTCAGTGGGTTTCATGTTTTCATCCCAGTGGACAATTTCCTTTTTTTATTTATTTATTGGTTTGGAGTTTTTTTTCATTTTCCCTGTGGAAAACATGCCCTGTTGAGGCTTTTTTG